TTCCTCTGACCACCATCAGTAGGCAGGTGAAGTGACTTGCCGAGGACACAATGATACTGAAAGGTGGAGCCAGGACTTGAACCGACAACCCTCCAATACTGCCGCCCCCAAATAAGATGTATTAAAAATAAACAGATGGACCTATAATGCATAGCATGACCAACACTCTCCTTGAATAAGCATCTTACAATTATATTTGGAAGCTTTTATTTTAAAACCAGCCCCCATCCTGTCTTTGGACACAGATATGTCTTAGAGATTTTTTAGGTGGATGTAATTGAACCTACTCTGGCTCAAGATGCCCTAAAAGATTTAAAATCCATTTGTAATACCACTTGTGATCTAAAACAATTGAAAAAATGCTTGCTCATCAATTGTGGTTGAAGAGCACTTTTTGTCCACAGCCCCTGATATGTCCTGCACTAAGCAGTCAAAGTGGTAGCCTAATTGTTGCGGTATCTTTTTTTTCTTTATCAACTCATACCGCTACTGCGAATGGTGTTTCTTTCTTGGATGTTGTTGTGTAATAGAGGTGATGCTGACATTAATTTTGTATAGAATTCATTAACAGAGAAAGTTCTAGGATGTTTTTTGATTATCAAGCTACCAGTTTGTTAAAACAGATGGCAATTCACACTTAGATGGGTTAAGCTATCATAACACATTCTGAAAAAATGGAAACCAAACCGATCAACTTTGTATATTTTAAATTAGATGAGTTATTTGTGTCATTTGTGACACATACAGCGTTTCTCTATAATTTATTATGGATTTTCTTATTACTACATGTGTTTTGTTGTATAATTAGTTTTTTTAAAACTTAAAATATCACACTGATCACAAAAATCAAGTATGTTTGTGTCAAAGGATTAAAAACTGAAAATAAACCATAATGTTTAGGGTTTATTTATTTTGCTGGGTTCAGGATAAAATTGTTCTTTGGATTTAAAAGATTGCAGACCCCTGACAAAGATGCATAATAAACTAAACCTGACTACACTATAGTATTATAAGGATTGCACTGGTATGTGTGACTGAATTATTATATGATTGGATTCATTTGATAATATATTTCTCTATATACATGTGTGCCTCATAAAATGTATTGAGGTGGAATTTGATAGAATAAGGGTTATAGAAACAAACTTAACTAAACTGGTTTAATTGTGATTGCACAATGACTGCATTGTTTACTGATAGAAAAGCTATTTAGTTGTTTGGTGGAACATGCTGACAGACGGCTGCGCATGTCCAGTAAAAGTTCTGGTCTCAACAGGAGCAGAAATAATATAATAATCTCTCTGCTTTACTGATGAAGGACTGTATTGTTTCAAGTAACGGTGTTGTCCAAAGTATTACGGTAAATTACAGCCAGATTGATCTCACACAGAGCACCTTTAAATCTTTCTGTAGAGGGCTGGTCCGTTAAGTCCTGTACTTATTTCTCCTAACTTCCTCATCCTTGCTGGAAATTTATTGCTGTATACATTTTCACTATCACTTCAGCTAAGAACTTTGCTGTCGCTGTTTTTGCCTTGACTTTAAAATATATACTGGTGCCGCAGTTCAGTATATCAAATGTAAAATCCTGTCGGTTTCCAGCTGTATTCTAGGATGCCTTGTGCTTTTGTTTTTAATCTTTAATTCCTTTTTCAACATATATATATATATATATATATATATATATATATATATATATATATATATATATATATATATATATATGTATGTATATATATATATATATATATGTATATATATATATATATATATATATATATATATATATATATATATATATATATATATATATATATATATATATATATATATATATATATATATGTATATATTTATATACATATATATATATATATATATATATATATATATATATATATATATATATGTTAGGAAAGTGGTAAAAGAAAATGAGTAGAAGTGGTAAAAGTTCTTTTGCAACCTTGCCTTGCCACTAAAACCATGAAATCAAACCTAGATAACATCCCTATTGTCTACCTTTATCACATCTTATACCACAACATACATTTCAAACTGGACCACTCAGGGTGGTTGAGCTTTATCCTCTTGATCTCTCTTAAAGGAAGTGCAGCCTGTCTGAGTGCTTTATCTCTTGTGCGTGTGACTTAATGAAACATTACACCCCTGTCCAGAGCTCTTCATCTCCACATTGTTTTAAATATTCAAATAAATATCTTTGGTACCTGCAATCATTACTCTTAACCATTTTTTTTTTTAATCATACGCAACAACATGAGGTATAATTCAGGAAAAGTTTGAACGCTCTGGTGTCAGGTTTCCAACCCAGATTTCACCTGCAGCTCTCTAAAGTGTCTAGATATAGAGCTCTACCCAAGCTGTTTTAAATTCACCCAGCACCTTTCTCCCCATCTGGTTACCATAGCAACACCTTTGACAGGGTCCACAGTATATGAGGCAATTTGATTGTTCCTTGTAAAATAGTGTATAATGTATGGGCCTTATTTTAATTCCAGTCTTGGCATTATTGATCTGCCTTTAATGATGGTTAATTAAAGAAATCGTATAATTGATAGAATCTCATCTCTGTTTATCGCCCTCCTCTGATTTTCTGCAGCGGTCTATTAATAAAATCAGCCTGAGAAATTAGTATCCCTCCCTTGCAGCCTGAAAGAAAGGGGATGTTTACAATCAACTGCCCTTTTATTAAGAGGATTCCTGTTTGATGAAGATAAGGGATCGGTGTCAGTAATCGTGATACAATCCTGAAAGGCATTAATTTGCTTGATGTTTATGAGAACAATGTAAAATATGTTAAAGGACGTTTCAGGGATTTCCTTTTGTTCTTCGCTTGATTAAATGTGAATTTGCACTGGTGGTTTTTATTCTATTTAAAGTCATGACCTAACATTACAGTAGCTCATCCAGCAGGGATTTCTTGTGTTACTGTTTTATGTTTTGGATTCTCTACTGCAAGTTCAAATATCACATAAGTCAGGGTTAATTTGTTTCCTTATGCTCACTTTGCTTTCATTTTTCTTGCTTGACATCTGATACATATCTTCCCTTAACTCAAGGAAAATTATTTCTATATTTCTACAGGATATCTATCTGTCAGTCAACATATGTAGGCTAATTTAAATAGTTTTGTCTAAATAGTATAGCTTGGTAAAGGATAAGAAAAATCTTTCATTGTCGCTGGGTCCTTTATTTAGGTAGGGGTTAAAATTCTCCACTAGGAAATTGGACACTTGTTCAATGAGCTGAAATCAGTTCTCACTGACTCCTTGTATGTAAATATTCATGTTTTACTTAATTTTCCCATACGTTTTTCATAAACAGTTATCACCATAGCAGATGTCAGCGTTCATTATTGTCCATGCTTGTTAAGGAAGAACCAAATAAATTACCAAATGTACCCAATTGACATAAATCTAATTAAGTCAACTTAAAATGTCTTTAGGCATTTAATATTCTAACAAAAAATTAATTGTAGTTGTTCCAAAGCAGTAGAGTGATGCATTCAAAACTGTTCATAAACACTTAAATAGCTGACAGCAAATATGTCAGAGATTCACATACTCTGCGATTTTTTCATTATATGAAATTCCTGAATTAGAATACATCAAAGTAGACATGATGGTTATTTTATTATTTTTGATCGAGGGACACTAGGCAGTTTTCTTACTAATGCACCAAAAAGGTGCCCTTAAAAAGGAAAAAAAAAAATCAAAATCCTTCATAGCTGCAAAGACATTGTCCCTTCTACCCAACCTCTATACGGGCTAAGCTTCAGAAGCAAGGAATAAAAAGGGATTAACCCTTGATGGCTCAGTGTGACAAGTACTGTAGTCATCTTGCAATGTAATTATTTTCTCTTATTATACTATCTATCCTTTCTATTTCGTTATATATATACTTTAAGTGTAAAACATGGATGCAACAGAGGTTATTTAAAAAAAAAAAAAGAAAGTTTCTTTAAAGTACATTTTAAAGAGTCAATTCAATCAAATTATACAGGCAGGTTGGTTAAAAAAATTTCCATCTATAATTTTTGTGGATAGACCTGCAGAACTCACTCCTCCTGGATTGCAAACATAGTGTCAGTGGACAGTCGTTTACATTTGGGCTGCATGCAGTGAACACCGACAGTAAAACTACCTTTAACAGGAAGAAACATGCAGCAGAACCACACTCAGTGTGAATGGCTCTTTGCCACAAGAAAAAGGGTATAAACGCAATAAACGCAAACATAATGTCTAGTAATATTTATTCTGATCTATTACTCAGGCTTAGATTAAAGAACCCAAAGCCCTAAGTGTTGTTTTGACCGATGAAAGCGAACTTGCAATGAGACTAAACAACATATTTTTAACTGCTGGAATCTGTGAATTCATGCTAAATAATAAGTTAGAATTAGTATCCTGGTAATATGATTAATGACTATATCTCTGCATTGTTCTTTATTGTGATGGATGGATGGATGGATGGATGGATGGATGGATGGATGGATGGATGGATGGATGGATGGATGGATGGATGGATGGATGGATGGATGGATGGATGGATGGATGGAAATAGTTTGTTAGATTCTAACCTTTTTTTCCCTCCATTTTTCTTTCATTTTAGTGTTGTACTTACATTCTCTTTAGTCCCCAATTTATGTCTTACATATTAATGAATACATGTCATTATGGTCTTCGTGAGACAAAGCTGAAGGGAAAACATTGCTTCTCTACAAGAGTAGAGAGCAGATCTTGGGAGCAGACCGTTATCTGATGTCCTTGTTCTGCAGGAGGGTGTAATTTATTAGTAGGAGCTTCCTATCCTGTTTGCTGTTCCATGAAGTCTTTGAGGCTGCATGCACCAACGCCTGGGAGTAACAGTGCAAGAGCTCCCTCTACTGCTTAAGCCCAGTAGCAACTGCAAAAACAAGTTTGCATGAAAAGTTGAGGCACCATTCCTGAAACGGGCAAAACATGCAATAAAAAGGCTAGAACTCTCACAAAAGTAGTTTATTGTGCCTCTTACTGTTTATATGGCTTTTCTTTGTATGACAAGAGTTGAAATAAACAGAGGATTGGCAACATGTTGGCCATGTTGACAAAACAAAATACAGAAAACAACATAATCTCAATGTTCTGCCAGCATTACCATTACTGACATCTTGACAGCCCAGCAGAGAAAGGAAGGATGAGGTTGCCACACAAGACTGTGGCAGCACCATGCTGAGGACATTCACCCATTGACCAAAGACATGTAACAGCATCCATGTACATACAACCAAAGACACACATACAAACACACACAAAGAGACCTGCCTATGTTCAGATGGCAAGTCTCATTGCTACTAGAAGAATGTCCATATTGCTTTAAACAGAGATAATAATATAAAAAAAGAACCTCTGCACTGTACATCAGCCATTGTCTCCCAGCTAATCGCCCATTCTGACGTTTTGGCAATTAAGAATTGATACATGAGAACACACATTCCTCTCCCTCAATAAGAGTTGGGAGTATACATTAGAAGACAAGATGAGATAATGGCTTTGAGATCAGAAGGCAGTTTGCTGCACAGATGCTCGGTGAGGGTGGTGATGAGAGTCAGACTAGCATCTATGCTATGGGGGCTTTTAATCCACAGTTAGAAATACACACATAAATATTGCCTGTTTCTAGAATGCCATAAGAGCATCTAGTGTTTGGTCCTTTCTGAAAAGCCCTGAGTCTGATTAAAAATATGTTTTAGTAAAACTGAAGAAAATCCTGCATTTGTCTTTGTTCATTATGTTGATGCCACTATGTTGTCGATGATTGAGTCTAAGGTAATGTGTGGATTAACTATGCTGATTGGAGTTTTAAAGGTGGATTTCTAATCTGCAATTTCCAAAAGGTCCAGACCTGCCTCTTCTAACTTTAGGTGATTCAGATTTCTGTTTATGAACTCCACTGCAGGCCAAATGCTTGAAAGCAAGATTAACTTTCCACAGACTCAATGTAGTTTTACTAATACATTGTTCTACAGAATAGATAGTGTTAAGTTATCGATCAACATACATTTTTTTTTAATAATCAGCTTTTTGAGGTCTTCTTTCCCCGTAAACTGTATTTAGTTTTTTATATCTTTGCACAGATGGTGTGACTCCTCCTTATCTAAACCCATAAACTCTTTCTTTCTTTAGGCTCTGCCAACATTAATGAAAACGTCAACTCCAAAAACAGTTGATCAATCTTTGTCTTACTGTGCAGTAAAGAAATGGCAAAATCCATACAAATTATAAATTGAGGCATTCTACAAGGAAACATTAAGTCCCTTCCAAACCTCAGGCCTGTAGTTTAGAGTTCAAAAGCAGAGTTTGCATCTTCTATTAGCGATCTGCACCATCAGAACAGCTAAACATGAATTTTCGCGTGTGCTCCTAGAGAAGGCAGACCCAGATTCTTATAATTTCTAAATGAAGCATGTCCTGCTGTTGAATGACAATGAATTCTAAAAGAATAACTTACAATAATTTGCTGTTACATATTCAGATTTCCTACAAAACTCCTCAAAGGTGGGCACTAACTTTGACACCATGTTGCAGGAGGTTACTCCTTGTACCAAAAGCATTTGATTACAAAACAAACAATGCTGTAAAAGTACTAACTGTTGGGTACACAGTGAAGTCTAGCGCTCTGTCCAAGCAAAGTAGATGAATGGTGAAAAATTTCCTTTCAAATAGCGTCTGACAGATTTTGTGCTTCCTTAGGCATCATTTTCAAACACCACACTGCTGCTAAAACCAGCAAGCGTTCATCTTACAGTAACAACTTCCACACCGAAGAGGAGTGCTTTTGTCAGGGCAGCTTGGAAGCACTTCTGTATGGTACGTTCACATATCAGATAGTTTTTAGTTTCCTGCAAGACAGTCACCAGTCAGAGAAAATATATCCTTAATTCAGATGTCTTCATTTTGCATCCCATGTCTGACATGCTAAGGTCAGAATATCATGTTAAGAGATAAAGGATTTAACCTAAATGGGTGAGATGTGCCAAAGTTGCAGACTAAAATGCTACTTTTGCAGTCAAGTTTAAACCATGGTGGCACATCTCTTACTAAGTGAAGTCCAATGAAAGTGTGTAAGTTGTTTACATAACTGAGCGTGTGTTCCTAGTGCACGTCAAAAGTGAGCACTTTAGTGTGAGTAACACCTGATTGTAGCTGGAGTCCCTGCCTGTAGTCAAACCTATTCTCAAAGGTTGACTTTCCCTAACTTTGGCACAAAGATACTTCCTGCACATATTGCTTTAATGGCAGCAAAAAAGAAAAAAATGGCAATTCCCTGATAACAGAAACCGATTGGGTCACTGCAAACATAATATTAGTTCTGTATGATTATCATTGAGATCTGCAGCAAGCCATGTTGCTCCAAAAACAAACAAAAAACTAAGATAGAGCTTCTACAGATAATAAGGAAGACTCAGCCAGCTGTATTGATGCTTCTTTCCCTCCGAATGTCTTCCAAAGTAATCTAAATGAAAAAATTGCCAAAGGAATTTATAGGTATATAGCCATAATAAACACATGAAAGACAAAATATGACATTATATAGATATGTATGAACTTATTTAGTAATTTAAACAAAAAAAGAAAAAAACAATCAGAAACCAATGTTCAAAAGCAATAACCACAAACAAATAAAAAAGGTTAGCATACTCAATTTGGTATTGCCCTGTACTTTTGTTATAATGTGCTTGTTGTAATCCATCAGAATTCAACTGCTCAGTTCTGGTATCTGGTTTGGCTGTCCCCCTATTTTAGATATCAAGAACAATAGTAGCAAAGAAAGGAAATATTTAGCTTTTTAAAGAGGTTACGTTCCTTTTGTCATGTTAACTTCCCTCGAGGCCAAGCCAAGAGTTCATATGGTCTACTGCTGCCTCTTCTTGACTTTATGCTTCTGCAGTTTCCGTGTCATGGACCATGTGGCCTGAGTTAGAAGTGTCTGTACACTTAAGGCTCTGCTGTGCTCCAAATAGGAGGACACAGTGATGTGCAGCAAGGAGAGCAGAGGGAGTAAGGAAAGGCCAGCATTTTCTTTTCTTTCTTTTTTTTTACATTTTGGAAGAACAGTGAGTGAGGTTTTGTTGTACGTCTATATGATATTGTGTGTGTGGATGTTTGCATGTGTTTATAACAAGAGCCTATACGAGCATGAAATGTTCTCTTCACTGCGCCCTCCCTACAAGGCCTTTCCTCGACCCATCTAAGGTATCCAAAACACCCCAGGGTTCCCCGTCACTGTCCGAGCCCCTGTCTCGCTCTTCATCTCCAAGGTCATCATCCTCATCTTCGTCCTCCTCTTCTGGCGATGGCTCACTGCAGTTTTCTGTGCCCCAGCTGTCGTCCTCATCTTCAACCTCCTGCTTTACAACCAGAGCCGGTGGTGGCGGCGGCGGCGGTGGTGGGGGCTGTGGACTCTCGTTGCTTTCCGTTTGGTCCTCAAATGCGTCTGGGTTCTCGAGCATCTCCCTGATCAAAGGAGGCATTGGGCCTGGGATCTCCATTTTTAAGGTGATGGCTCTTTCGGCACCTGTATACAGAGATCACATGATTTAGTGTAACATGTAGGTATGCAAAATATATAGGAGTGAAGGAAACTATTGTGTTGATTTTAAGAAATACAAACATTTTAAAAATGGTTCACTTTGAACAGCTCTTCGTTCTATTAATATAAAAAATATTCTATTTCAATTGATTATTTCTAAATCATGTCCACATGTACGACACATCAAAGAACATGGAGGAAGTAATATCAAGTGGAGAAAGAGGTTTTTCAAAACCTCTAAACTATTCCACATTTTTTCACATTAAAGCCACAAATGTGGATGCATGGATATTAGAATTTTATGAAAGAGACCCGTCCAAAAAAGGATCATTTTAAAAAAGGGGAGGGAAATGATTCATGGTAGTAGGAAACCCTAACAAATAACAGACTGAGAGTATAGCTGTACAGACAAAGCACTGCAACCAATGCCCTTTAAACACTCACAGTCAAATAAATATGATGCAGAACACCCCTGAAAAATCTCTTTTTAATCCCAGTTTGTAGTCTTTATTGTACAAAACCTTTTTTCTTTCAGGATTGCTCTGCATTTTGCTTCCAGGCAAAAATGTGAGCTTTCCTTGCCCTGTTGAACAAATGTATCCCTACAGCAAATATTTCCATAGAAAAATCTTTAAATTTAAATAATGGAAGGGAAAGTGCATATATTTTCAAAGGTTAGGATATTATTTTGAAAACTTTTATTTTAATGTCCCCACAACATTCTACCTGGCCTTCCTGCTCTCTCTCTTACTCTCCATAATGCTGTTTGTTGATTAATATTATCTAGAATCCTTTACAGAAGAGCTATGCTTACATTAAGAATAAACTACCTGCAGATGGGCTCTTTTTGATATATTGGGTACCTCTGATGGTTGAGCTTGTAGGGTTTAAAAAAATAACCATCAAAGTAAAAGTGCCTGAATAAATTTGTGTGCCACAGTTTTCAGAAGCACAAGGCTTTTATTTAAAAGGAAAAAAAACATCCATCATTTGCATCTTTAAGCACTACTTTGCATTGGTCTATCAAATACAGTACTAGTTCAATTCTGTGAAATTTAGAGTTAAAGTTCAAGGACTATGAAAAAATGAGCACAGTAGGCTGCTGTTTTTAAAGATTCCGTTTTGCTTGTGGGAATTAGACATGCGGACACAACGTCTGCATGTTTTATGCAGTTTTCCCCTAAATCTAATATTCTGGCTGACTGTAGGAGGGCATGTTTAGCACAAGCCGGATACTTACACCGCCATAAATATCTCCCACTCTGCAGAATCTGTTAGTTCAATCTCTAACGTTATGCTCTCTCTGCTTTTTCTCATAGTAGCTTCATCTGGTCTGTTTCTGTTTGGCTGTGAAACCATCCTGGAGAGAAATATCAGCTGTGCTGCTGCCATCAACACCCTTGTTTATAGATGTTGAAGATTGGTTCTGCTGGAGGTTTCTTCCTGTTAAAAGGGAGTTTTTCCTCTCCACTGTTGCTACAAGCATGCTTAGTGTGAGGGATTGCATTTGAATCAATGAGTTGATGCAATCAACTGGTTTTCCTTAGATAGAAAACTTTGAATCAATTTGACTATATGATCTCATTTGCATAAACTATTATTGTTTTTTTTTTCAACCTTCATCTGAACAGACTGTCCGTGATATTGAATCCCTCTGTGTTTTATGACAACCTAACTGAAATAAAGGTGAAAAGTGACTTTGTAATAAAAACTTTCTAGCTTTCAGCACCAACCTGAGGCTCAAATTGGGCTTCTACTTACTTAGCTCCAGATGATACTGTAGCCATGAAGGTATAATGACTGACCTTTAGTGCTGATCCCTCTGAGGTCAGTGATCTTCATCAGCATACGAGGGAACATGTGAGGTTTATTGGGGCGGCGCCGGCGGGCATAGATCTTAAGAGCCTCAAGTAAAGGTTCTTGAAGCTTATCCACTTTTTCTGGCTCCTCAAGATCCATGCGATCTGAAAAAGGATATAACTCACATTTAATATTCTAAATGTACATCTTAAATACTTATAAATACTTATATATTTAATATTAAAAGATATTTTTGCAATGAATACTTAAACTCTTTATAGTGTTTAAGCAGAAGAAAAAAAATAAATTTTCTTTGCAGCTCATTGATTTGTCATGCATATGTATGCTGCAGTACCTCCACAGATAAGGCAGATGGCACTAAGGAGACCAGTTTCAGTGTCATCCATCTCCAAGGGTAGAAGTTGGCCAGCAAAGGCAAAAACCAGATCTGTGAGTGGTCCAAAGCCAGCATTGTGCATCTGAGTTCTGTTCAAAGTCAGACCATCTGAGAAGGTCATAGTGTCCTGTTCAGGGGTGTAGCGTGTGCAGATTCGCAGCATCTACAAGTTATAATCAAAGAGAGGAAAAACGTTAATGAATGTGTAAAATATGATGTAATCATATGACAGACATGATTGCCAAAACTAAAATCATAAACAAAAAAAGATCTATGATGCCCAAAATATTTTTATTAGATTTTTGAGTTCTTTCTGGGAAAATGGGCTTGCAGTACCACCTTCATCCACCAGATACCAGCATAATCTCAGCAAGGATTATTTCACTCCCTTTATTTCCCAAACATAGTGTTGAGAACATCATAATGCAAAAAGTAACTCCTTACCAGAATGTCCAGGCAGGCTGACTTTAGCAGAGTGATTTGGTCAGCGATAGTGAGTGTGGTGAAGCCCGGCAGGCGCTTTGCAAATTCCACAATCTTGATGATGCATTTGGTGGAGAGCTCGCTGAACTTGTCCCAGAGACCCAGATCCAACTGAACACGGTGGTCCGAGCTGGAGTTCTGAATACAAAAAAGCAAAGCCACTTCATTATGTATTACTATCAGAAAATATTCAACCCTATTTGCATAAAGGACCAAAGGTGCCAGAGCCTCACAACACATTTCCATGTGTCATCAATCAAACAAGAAGCAAGAAAAAAAAAAACATTTACATGTTGCATTAATCATTCAGACATAATGCAAATGACCTAATGGGGACTTAATTAGTTAAGCAATGTAATTTTGGACATGGGTTTGACTTACGGTGGTGTATTTTCCCAGCTGACAAAGTGAAGGAAATGTTTCTTGGTGAGCTTTGCTGACTTTATTAACCAACTCTTCCAGCTCTCCACTTAGCTCATAGCTTTCTGGTAGCACCACCTCCTCCTTCACATCCTTCTTTTTTTTGTTTCTGTCATTACGCACCGCTACATGGAGAAAAAAAAAAAAGAGGTTAAGTGGTTCCACCTATCAGACAATTTGGTAGTAATCATAAAAAATGAATCTATTCCATTTACAATATCTAATATCTGAAACAGAGTAACGACTATCTCTTTAATGACTTGCACCTCGGGTTTCCACATTCACTAGTGGAAAGCATAACTCAGCAGCACCAGAAGCTGATCTTAAAGCCACTGACACTAACACAGACACCGTCTATCTTCCTCCTATCACCCAGTCACTTCCATGTCGATCAATCTGTCCACCGAATGCACACAAGCCAGTCCGCTCTGCCTTCTCTCCCTCCTCCGCCTCCCATACTTTCCTTCCTCTCAGGATATCCAGTAATAGCAGAAGCACAATGTGATCCCGGTCTTAACACACATCCCACACAAACATTACACCCACGTACATGTCTCCCTGGGCTCTGCAAAAGGGCAAGAAACTGGCACTTACTGCCACTGACAGTGTGAAACAAAAAGGGAACAAAAGTGGGGTTTTTGATACTGAAAAAAGTAATGAATCCTGCTAAGGTTTTCTTTGTGAGAGCTCTAAATCATATTTTCTCCTGCGTTTTTCTACATGAATGAAGACAGTGTTTTTGTCAGCCAGAGGGGTGAGGTTTTCGTGGCGAAACAGGAAATCAGATTCATTTTGTGAAGCGATTAGTCATATGATTGATGCAATGCCAGACTCACCCCAATCACCACCCCTGAAGGACTCATCATCTGCTTCTGTGTTTCTATGCTGCATACTTTCCCAGAGTCTTTTTCTGAACATGAGCCGATGAGCAGCTTCAGTCAAGCACACATAACTCCATGTTGGCTGTGAGTTTTAAGTGTATTGCATAGAGATGTCTCAAGCTTATATGGGACCTGAAGCAGAATTAGTTCTGAGAGGCCACTTCTAATTAAAGCCACTGGCCACCAGCTACAGAACCACAGGATGATTAACTTAGCATGATTGCATTGCTCATTAAATAAAATTAGTTTCACGGCTGATTAATAAGCCGACACTGGATACTATTGAAATCGCTGAAGGAGAAAAACAGCATGTTGAGATGATGCTTAGAAGTAAATAAAAGGGAAAATTGGGTCATTTCTCTGGCCAAGTAATTTGATCTTTGCATGACATCAAATGTTTCCATACAACCAGCAACATTTGAGATAAAGCGACATTTAATTACCCTTCAGCACCATGATTAACACACCATGTGATTTTTTTCCGTTTTTTCCCTTAACTAAAGAAGTGTTTATCTTAAATAAAAAATATGGAACATGCTTAAACCATACTTGTAAGGTTTAAGGTTTTTTTAAAAAGATTTCATTAAGAAGTTACAAATGGTTTATTTATTTAGCAGAAATGCAAATTAGATGATCTGAGAAGCTGAAGTTAACAGTGGTTGTTCAGAGGGATAAACCACAAAAACATCATAGCAGCAATTTTAGGAAATTTTAATTGTTTTCATTTTTACATTGGGTGATAGAGGTAGTTGTCTAACTCCCAGTGTTCTGTTAGATATATACGTAGAATGACAATAGTTTGAAGGTTTCTAAATTCTGTTAGCATAAGGTAGATCAGACTTGTTTTAAATCAACTCGATCATTCCTTAGTGAACCCTTGAAAGCCCTCTGCTTAGTTCCCTAATGGCTCAACTCAGAGCTGGTTTTAGAGGTTAGGAGAACCTACCTTCCTTGGACATGCCGACCTCAAAGCACTTCTGCAGCCTGCAGTACTGGCAGCGGTTACGAGTGACCTTGTTAATCTGGCAGTTCTTGTCTCTGTGACAGGTGTACACCATGTTCTTTTGGATACTGCGACGGAAGAAACCCTGAAGCATCAGGAAGCAAGACACAAAAGAGTGAGATGGCAAGGGAAAAAAAGAATATGCAGACTACAGTTATCAAAGAGAGGATGTGACATTTAACTTGCTGCTTTTCCTCTCATTAGCATAACATTAAAATAGTTTGAGAGACGTATGAGATGAGCAGAAGTGAAGCTAAGTAGGTCCTACAGGTCCTCCTCACCTTGCAGCCCTCGCAGGAACTGACCCCGTAGTGGTACCCCCGAGGACTTGTCCTGGCACACAAAGCAGGGTTTGTAGACACGAGGTGGGGGAGGAGGGGACGGGGAACTGGGTACCATCTCTTCTGAGCTGGTGCTCTGTGTCTCCACCGCTGTGGGAGGAAAGAGACAAAGAAGATGTAATCTGTCATTAATTGTTGTCCTGGAACTACTATCTGGTCTACAAATAACTGCAGATCAACTGTCTGTTCATACAGCTGAAGTGTGTAGTTTAGTGTCTCTAAATAAACTATCTATGACAAGCAGGCAAGAATTTCTTCTTAAGTTCAAGTCATTTGGTGTTTCATCATTAGGCCCAATTAAACAACATTTGTTTCAGTGATACTTTTTAAAAATCTACATTTATCTTGTTTAAACTGCCTCAAGCTGAAGTATAATAAATGCAAGCCATTTATTACAGAGTCAAGTTTGAGATAGATCTGTGAGGTCATTATTCTACCACTACAGCTATAATAAAACGGGTTGTCCTAAACCTTTAATAGCTCATGTTCTATGAACATCCCTGGCTGTTAAATCAAATGTACCTTTTATGGGAGAATATACACAGCAAATCACATAGCCTCAGTTTGCTTAGTGTTATTGTACCAGTTCAAGATTGTTCATAAAGTTCCAGCGCCAAACCACAAGTGCAAGTCATGTTTTAAATCTTTAGAACAAAATAATCAAACTCTAGTCCTCAAGATTGGTGTATTTTAACTTATAGAGGTGCATCTGCTTCGGTACATCTGAATTAATTCATTAGCAGCACTCTGTAGTACCTGATGACATGAAGAGCTGCAGGACACCGGGCCTCGAAGACTAAAGTTTGAGGCATTTACTCTAGGGCTGAAGTATAAAAATCCAGCTAGAATACTCAGTATATTTCAAAGATATATTTCTTCCATCAGGTTTTACTCCACTATTATTTTTTAGGCTACACCATCCCACAGAAAAAAACATCAAGAGAGATTTTAGTCATGGACAGAGATGTGACAAAAATCTCTCAGGCATTGACCTCTTCAGACTGCATTCAAAGTTTAATGCAAACAGAGTCAAAACAAAGCAAGATGGATGTGAAACTACACATAAAAGAAATGCTCTACTGTTGTTTTGGTGCTTAAGTAATTATATCCAAAGTGGGCTGAGGCAAAAGGGACTCCTGGTATTGTTCTGATTGTTTTAGTTTAAGTCCAGATATCTTGTCTACATGTTCAGATCCATCTTTTTTTTTTAAGTAAAAGTAGTGGCCTAAAATTCACTTTACAAATCAGCAGGAGATGTAAATGAATAATTCTAAAAGTATTCTGAAAGTAAGGCACCCCAAAAGAGATACGATACAGATAAGTATCTGGCACAAAAATTACCCCCTTCTCCAAATACTTCAAGTCTCAGAGGCAACTAGGCTGTATCACTGATTAATCTGAACACAGTTGAATGAAGAGATAATGACTTCCTGACAGTCCCAGAGTAAACTATCTTTTACAGCAGTAAGCAGACGCACTATTGATTGACATGTAGTCTGATAGGTTTTAGAATTTGCTACTGAAGCCAAAAGTCAAAGCTTGCTTCTCTTCATTCCTTATGCTAACAACAATTCCTTTGGATGCATAAGAGATACAAACATTTCCACAACAAGACCAAAGGCTTTCACACGTTCTGTGAATGGCCTCACGAACATCTGACGTCAGTTTCTGCTCGGGTCACACACCTTCTATGGTACATTACACGTCATTACATTTCAAAGCATTACAGGGTGTTTTGTGAATGCATGTGTGATGTAAAGGTTCCATAGTTCCCCCGAGAAACACAAGCTGCTGCACTTATACTGGATCCGATCTTTGTCACACATGTTGGCCTGCATCAGCTCAAAGCCACCCACAATTTTCCGACACGCACACACATGGGCAAAAAACACTTTCACCCTTGGTCACCTTCTAGCTTCTACCCCCATCTCTGGATCCCACTAACCCCTGACACATAAACCCTATTTTTCTCTTGTTTCCTGGCCCTAAATTCCTCAGTGCAGCCCTGCAAGGTTTTAACAGAGGCCTAAGCTCGTAAGACGGCCTATAAAGGCGGTCCCATGGCTGGACTGGAGGCCCCAGCCCGGCTGGCGAGCACTTTATTGGGACTCGGTCACCTTGGGCAGCTATTCACACCACCAGCTGTGGCTTCCAACCCATAAAAAAGCCAATCATAAAATGAAAAACAGAGAGGCTCTAAAATTCTTACTTTTACTGCCCCTGCCTCCCCCCCTACCTTCAATGAGGAGCACAGAGGGCTTGCCTAAACTTAACCTACAATCCCCTTCCTTCTTTGTTTTCTCCTTAAGACTGAGGCAAAACCACCAGCTTGCCTTTTTACAAGAGAGAGGAGACTTCAAAAGGATAAAAAAGAGGTATAAAAAGAAGAACTTGGGGGGGAAAAAAGCAGCAGTGGGAAAGAGTTGAAGGGGGGATGGGGTTCTGGCAGTGAGCAAAGGTCTCGTTCAAGACCAAGTTGACCATCACTTCCACTTTTTCAGCCGATGCTGTGGCTTGTGCTGTACAACCTCATTAATGAGAATCACAGAAATATGAAGACATTCTTAGTTTATTGCCCAATGCTGAAACATCTGGTTTTCATGTGCATTTTTATTTGACTATAAAGAATCCATTCAAATTCCGGCTTTGAAAGTTCTACCTTGCTAATATGTTTTCTATTAGCTTTTAGGGCAATCTCAGAGCCAAATGTGCAAATCAATCTGCAACCTGAAGTTTACGCCCACTAAATGTTTCTACAGCAGTTCTCATATGTCCCTGGCCAGAATATAACAAAGCAGTGGGGTCAGCGAGAGAGCAGAAACCCTGTGAATGTGCCATGAACTGCTGTTTATCCAATAATAACAACAGCAAATGAGGTTCCAGACCAAGCGCTGACAACCCCATTAGAAGAAAAAAAAAAGGGCAAACCATGTGGGGTGTCAAAAAACGGACATTGAGTCTGAGCAGTAAGGATTGGGTGGAGTTGGACAGAGAAAGTTCATCCTGGAAAAAACTCAAGACGGCAGCAATAGAGGAAATATATCAGGCTCTGTCAACACTTCGAACCTGGTTCCTGCTTGAGAACATGACTCCTCAACCCATCTCCAAGAATGAGCCTCATTCAACCCAGTCTTCCCCAGGGCGCCACAGTGAGAGGGCCTATTCAGGCCACCACTCAGAGCCCCTTTCCCCTGCTCTCTTCAGCCCAGCTCATCACTATTTAGAAAACAAAGCCCTGTAAAATGAGAGGCCCTTCTTATCAGCACACAGAGGCCTGGGGTACTATTTGCATGACAATCTGGTGGCCAAGGCTGGAAGGCCGATGACAGACAGATGAGATGAGAGCAGTGGGATAGGTGGGTGGCTGCTGTTGCTGGGGTATGTGAAGAGGATAAGAAGCAACAAGAGGGGATAGGTTGATTATCTGCCACTTTTCGCTTCCTGCTAGAGTAAGTATCAGTTTACTCCCTAATCCGTTGTTGCAATGCTCTCTGTGCACAAGTGGCCAAGCTGCACTGATCAGATCTAATCCTGTGGTCCCCCACTAAACATACGCATAAATATACATGCACACACATAAGGACACACAGAACCATCTGTCCCACTAACATTAAATGCTTCATCCTAAGTGGGATGTGGAGTACATCACTCTCCACAACCTCATTAGATTTAAAATGTGATTGCACATGACAAAAATAGCTGTTTAGCTGAAGGTGACTTCATCTAGGTCAATTGCATAAAATTCTAGGTCAAGTCAACTGTGGCATTCGCCAAGCATTTAAAAAAAGATACTAAAGGAGAGGAAAGATTGGGGAGAGGTAATGAACAAAAACTTCTTGCTGCCTGTTTTTTTTCAGCTGGAAAAGAGGGAGTGTTTCTAATGTATGTGAGCAAAGGCATGACTGTGCAGCTCTTGTCTGTGTTGCAACACAACTCTTTTTTTTAACAATGCAGCATATGACATTCTGGCAATGTAACAAGTTTTCTTTCACAATAGTCCTCTGGATTGTTTTTTTTTTCTTTTCCACAAACCTTGTCTTGGCATGTGACAGAGAAAACTAAAGGCTTACTCTGAGAACATGTAGTACTCAGAGCAGCATACAAGGCACCAGAAAGATATTTTCACATGTCTGTATTGGGTCTATATTAGGGCTGCAACAACGAATCGATAAAATCGATAAAAATCGGCTTTTAAAAGCGTTGGCAACGAATTTCATCATCGATTAGTTGTGTCGCGCGATTATTGCGTCATCCGCCGCGCCGTCATCACTGCCTCTTGACTGAAAGAGGAAGAAATAAAAATACGGCAGAGCGAGTCAGCGCCGCAGGTGCAGTGTTGCCAACTCAGCGACTTTTCAGACCCCTCCAGCGACTATTTTTCAAAAAAGCGACTAGCGACAAATCTGGCGACTTTTTTCGGTGTCACTGGCGGCTTTTGGAGACTCTTACGTGAAAGCATGTATCGTTCCTACTCTGCCGTGGGGCGCCTCCCCCACCCCAACCGCGTTTTCCCGCAGGAGTCCCTCTCAGTCAGAGCCTCAGCGTCCAGACTGCAAATGAAGCGCGCATGCACCGGGATTGACGGCGCAAATTGATCACAATAATTAAAATAGCCTGCGCGTTGTAAAGCTAAAAAAGTGATAACATGCAACTTTTTTCAAAAGGAATTAACATGGCACGGAACCACCATGTTTGTTTGGTTTTAAAGTGGGGAAACGTAACGTTAGTTTCTTAGGTAGCTCATCTGATGCTTTCCTTTCCTTACCTTGTTAGTAGGTTACAGACAGGGATAAGGTTGGCTACTTATTTTACTTTTAATTTCATTTTAATTAGCTTAAGCAGCGTTTATATTTACTTTATAAATAAATTAACTTGCAAATTATGAGGGCAAGGCTTTTAAAGTTTAAATCTTCTGGCAAAGATAAAGAAAAGAAGATCCTGCAATTTATGGAAGTAAAGCAGAACAAAATCCAGCAAGATCAGTAATATGTCAATTAATTATATGCCACATTCCCATGTAAATATCTGTCTTTGGAGGATGTGTTTTTTAGCACCCCTAGTTCTCTCATTTTTATTCCAAATACAATTTA